CGGGGTGGGGGGATTAAGCTCCAAATCACTAGAAAGGCACTGAAGAGAGGGGGGGTGAGAAAAGAAAAAGCTGCAGATCCAAGAATTTGAAATTCTCCCTTTGTCTGGGAGATGAAGAAACACTAGACTGTGGACTCAAAACTAAAAGACTGCGTGTTTCTCATTCAGTGGGAGCGTTGTAATTGCATGATGTTGGAGCTCGCTGCTTTTCTCCATGAGTTGGCAGTGTCCTGCGTTGGCTGGCGTGCAGTGCTTTCCCTCTCTCTCTGTCTCTCTCTCTCTCTCCCTGCCTGACAAACACACACGCACACACACACACACACGCACGGACGTGCACATCCCCCTCCTGCCCCCACCCCCACAGATGCACACTCACATACAAGCACACACACAGTCCCTCTGCGATCCCCCCTGACTGAAGGCTCACAGGAAGTGCAGCCGTGGCCCAATTATAGCGTGACACCTCGGGCCGGCCGTTGCCATGGTTACGTCTTCCCTGCGGTCCCCTGGAGTGTGGCGCCGAGGAAGAAGGTCTTATCACATCAGCCATCGTTACGGCAACAAGCAAAAACCCACCCTGTAGCCTCAGCCCAGCTGGCTGTGTATTCGGCTTGAAATCTGCCCCCCCCCCCTCATCTGTGTATGCGTGTGTGAGAGATTTATATATACATACGTGGAAAATTTTAAAAAAAAAAAGGAAATTGTGTGCGAGGAAGAGCCCGAATGTTTGTGATGATTGTGTGTGTCAGGTTAGGTGTGCTCAAGTGCACGCACTGGACTTGCCAAGGCAGCGTGTAGGTGTGTTTGTGTGTCTGTGGGGTTGTGATAAGGCTCTCAGCCACACCATTAGGTGACTCATAATCCACACACAACCTCGCACACACATACAGGAGCACATGTGTGCGCAAGCAGAAACAAGGTTGCAAACGGACACATACGCCCAATTACAAATGAGTGCACGCACACACACACACACACACACATAAAGACGTAGCATAGAGCTTGTAGACGAGTGCACATGGCAAATTTCTTTTATTTCAAAAGGGCAAACAGCGCTATACAGTACAAGTTGCACATGAAATAATTTAGCCGAGGCCAAACTCATTCACTTCTTACTGATGCAGTGACGTCAGAACAACAGAAACTCCCCTCGTTAGAAACAAAACATTTGGCTCCTCTTTACCTTTGAAGCACAGTACATCCAAACTGGAAAGCAACGTAAAAAAAAAAGAAAAAAAAGAAAAAGGAAGAAGAAGACATAATGTTTTCCAGATATTTACAGTCTATTTACAGAATTTTTGTCATCATCTGAATATTGACAAACATTGGTATCCTTCTTTCTCGCCTCTCCAATTCTCTGATTGTCAAAATGGATGGGAACGTGTGTGGACATTCTTAAACGGGAGCTGCAGCTCCGCACGAAACACAACATCTTTGAACGTCTCTGGCAGTCACAGTCCGAGCATGTTAACAGGGTGTCCTGTGGGTGAGTGTGTGTTGGTGTGTGTGTGTGGTTTTGTAATTTTTGTTTTGTTAAAACTGCAGCTCCTCAACAATCATCCAACCGGGAACCTCTGACAAATCCTGCCACCGCAAGCGTTACTATCCGTCCAAGGCTCCATTGCTTCTCTCCTGTGCCAGACCCAAAGTAAAATCAGACCCCCTCAGATCAAACCCAGACACTCTGCTCTCAAACCCCGGCCCCCCGGGCTTCCTCTTCAGCTCCTCACACTTCCTGTATTTACAGATCTGGTGTCCCCTCTTGCGATTGCGGCAGCTGCTGCACTGTTCGCAGTTCGTCTGACGCCGGCACGGTACGCACTCCCCGCACCTCTTCCTCTTCCTCCTGCCTCCGCTGCTCCCGCCCAGGGAGCTGGGAGAGTATCCTTCGGCCACCAGCCCCTCTATGCCCTCAGCTCCCATGGCCGTGCTTCTCCAGTGACCTCCCCCCATCTGGAAGCCTGCCAGGGGGAAAAGAGCGGGGCTGAAGGGGAACCAGGCACCCAGGAAGGGCTGGAAGTCAGTGCTGCATGCAGAGGAGTCCTCTTCCTCCTCCTCAGGCCCGGACCCACCTCCCTCGCCGTCTCCCTTTCCGCTCTTTGCCTCTGCAGCCTCCCTCTTAGCTGGCTGGCTGCTCTGTGCGCCCAAACTGGCTTGCTCTGTGGTGGCAGGGGTGAGAGCCAGAAGCCCAGCGCGCATCAGCAGCTCCGCAGCGTGGGCCAGGTGGAGCCCGCTGGGCGACTCCCACATGTCGGGCCAGGAGGGGGCCCGGCGAGGCTTAGCGTGGCCGGGCTGGGTGGCCCGTTGCTGAGATGAGGAGGGCTCCATCAGGCTTTTGACATCCACGGCCGGGGAAGGGGTGGAGATGTAATGGGAGAGGCTGTAAGGGTGGTTAGAGCGCTTAAGGCTTGGTCTCAGTGGCTCATTGGGGATTTTAGCACTGCTGTGGGCCTGATCCGGGGAGGAAGGGCCAGCGATGTCTACCGCGGTGGACATAGCTGGCTACGGGGAGTTGTCTGTCCTTGTGTGAGTATGCGTGCGCGTGTGGGAGGAGAGGTGAGGGAGAAGGGGATTGAAGCCGATGCGAGGCTGACAACTGTCCTGCTGTTACTTCAGCCAAAATGGCAAGCCTTGGCCTGTGTCCCTATTCCCATTCTCTGCAGCAGCCTCGGAGTCCTGGAGAGCTAGAAATGAATAGGGGATGAAGAGAGGAAGGTTAAGAATAGAAATGTTGGAGTGACAAACACAGAAAGAGAGTTACGAGGAAAGAAGGGCTGGGAGATATGTTCTCAGTCAGAGCCACCAAACACAGCCAGAGAAGCAGAGTGCAGAGATTCGGTGCTTAAAGACAAAAATATAACATGCATGTGCACAGGCTCAGAAATCAAACTCCCCGGACAGAGATGAAGGCAGCCATGTATCTGACACACACTGCATGCTTGCCAATGATTTCCGCATACAGGAGGCAGTATCCCTTTAAGAATTTCACGGTATATCAATGCAATCAATAACAGAGCGACAACAATATGCAAAGATATGCGCATATGCGCAGGTCAAATGTGGAGCGCGCTTTTCAAATACATTTTGACGACTGCTGTTATGTGTGCCAGCCAAAGCTTAAGCTCAGCAGAGAAAGACTAAATAAGGGACGCCGGGGGAAAAAAACAGGCTGTCTTTTGTCTGCTATCGACGACGAGGAGCGAGGTGCGCAACGATGCGGTTGCTGTGGATAAAAAAAGACCAGGCTATGTTCCGTGTCCACATTTGTAGAAAAACTACTCCGCTGATTAAACACGGGAGATGGGTGTTATTACAAGACCGGCCAATCGCCCCCTTTGGCGGATCGATCGGGAAACCAGATCGATCATTTGGCCGTTATTAAGGTTACCTAAGAAGACGGTGCTCGACCGACGCCACGGCGAGCTGACCACAGTCCGAGTGGTCGCTGCGACACGGCGCTGCGCGCAAGAAAAAAGGCGACAATACAACACGGCGAAAATCAACAGGAAGTGTCGAGAAAAGCTCCCCGCTTACCTTACAAACACGACCCGAGCTCTCCTGTCAAAGATATGATGAAGTCATGAACTAATGGCGTGGTGATTGTAGCGTATATGGACGGCGGAGCAGCCGATTCCTCCTCCACCTCTCCGTCCCGGAGGGTCTGCAAACACTCTGCACGGAATTTGGGGGCGTCGCTCAAAATGCGAAGTGGACTCTGCAGTCGAGGCTCTGGTCAGAGCGACCCCGTGAAACGTCCACAGAAGCAGATCAGCACACACCGTTAGCTGGCAGCGGGAATACTAAGGCGAATCAAGGCCACCGGTCACACGCAGTCAACACCACAACTGAGACACATGTAAAAAATTATGTAAACACCGGGCACACTTATAATTTACGCTCGTTATGTTTTCTCTACTAGAAAGTCTTGTTAGGCTCTTACACACACACACACACACACACATATATATATATATATATATATATAATTATGCCTTATTCAGGCCTGTGGAAACTAGTCAAAAGCCCAGTTTATTAATTATTCCTGTTTGTCCTTTTATAAATCTTTAAATGTATTCAATCAAACTTTGCTATATTAAATGTTCAGTAAAGTAGCTGAAAACTCTTAAGCGTTTACTGTTTGTGCAGTCCAGGCTTCGCCTACTTATTTTAACATAAAAAAAAATGCTCTTATTTAAAAAAAACAAGACAAAAAAATCCAACCAAAACAACTCTTCCCCTTAAAATGGATTTAAATACAGATTTACTGTTTATTTTTTTACCGTCTGAACTGGTGTCTTATCCACACCGGAAGCCAGCGCCGTGACCTTTCATACATAAAAGCACACTGGGTTGTGGTGTCACACACGGTGGATGTAAATAAATATCAAAACAAACAGCTACAAAATAAAATGATATTTTTACAGGTCACTCGGAAAACAGGAAGAGCCCTGTGAGCTAAATTAGCCTGTTTAACATAAATAGCCTTTATGCTAATGTCCGTCTGCTTTGAAGCACGTGAGCTCGCTGTCTGTTAAAGGTGACTCCTCACGCGGGGACGGCGGAGTCCACTCCACCTCTTCTGAGAGTCCTCCGTTGCATCTGGCACGCAGCCAGATACCTCGTGCGTGCGTGTCTATGTGTGTGTGCGAGCGCGCGCACGTGTCACTATGGGAGCAGGGGCCCACCGTGTTCGCGTACACTGCTGTCTGTCTGGCCTGGGCGATCCGTGTAAACACAGCGTCTTCTAGCGGTCACCGCAAATACTGCTCCGTCTTAAAATGGCCACTGGTGTCGGTGGACACTGCAGCACGGGAGCCCCCCTCACTTCCGTCTCTCCCACACAAATCACAGCCCCGATCCCACCGCAGTCACACACACGCACACAGAGCTGTTTACTCATTACCCCCGTCCTGCGTTAATCCATCAGCACAGCGCTGTGACACGCGTTCCGATCCTGTGGTGGAAAAAGGCGAACGAAATGAATAAATGAAGCTTTCAAATTGGGTCACTCAAGTTTTATTCACAATGTACAGAACAATGAATCAAACCAGACACCCCGCAGCCAGTAGAAAAATCTACCTGCTGAAACGGCAGAATATATTCTTAATGGGCACGAGCTGCTGAACACAGATTCAACACAAGTTTTCCCAGAAAGCCACAGGAACTGGTTACAAGAAGACAGTTTCAACAGTTCATTAACAACAAACTAAACTTCTACCTCCTCTGACTAAAGCAGCAAAACAAACAAAACAATGTGTGTTAACATTCATGTAGGGTTGTGTGAGCGTTTGGATTCTGGTTTAGATTTAAATTTAAGGCCTACGCTTCAGTTCACCGAGACGCTGGACTGACTGAAGGTCTCGTCTTTCAGCCACCTGCCCCACAGCCAGAGGAGGCGGCTGAAAGGACACCAAACATGAAGGCACAATGCCCGCACGGGGAAATATTTCACCTTTATCAGGCCCAGTGAGAACTTTAAACAAACGGCACATTAAGTAGGTCATACTGCGAGCTGCAGTCATAGTGCCACCATATCTAACTTATCTGTCCTCAAATGACCTTTGATTTCAAAGTCACACTAAGCAGTGTCAGAGCAGTGTGGCCAGTTTGATATTAAAACTATGTTTTTCTGTTACGGGCAAAGGACAATGCTCAGAGTTTGGACTGAACATATCAGCGTCATACTGTAATCATCAATCAGTGTGACACGGCAATGAGAATGACAGATGATCGGGCCAGGCGTGCGAGGAGTCAGGGAGGGCCGAGTTCTCCGGTGGCTCAGATTACGCGTCCTTCTTTTTGATGATGAGCGGTCCAACGTTGTCCCCGGTTTCCTCGTTGTGTTTAGTGTGGGAACCATCGCAGTAAGGGAACTGCAGGGAAGAGGAGAAACGACAACAGAATTCACTCTTATCAGTCATATGAAGAGAGTCTGTTAGCCACATATGAGTTCATGCTAACAGCAGTTTGAAACCGACTAAGCATGGAGGGCTGTCAGAGGGTAACTTTCAGCGCAGGTCAGGGATGTTAAAGATGGTCACATCCCATTACCAACTGGGATGTGATCAGCACAATATGTGTCAAACCGTGACCTGTGACTGCAGAAAGCTAAGCAGTTTTGGACCTCTGATAAGATTACCTGCAAGCTTAGAAAGCTCAATGACTGTTACTTGAAGTTTAAGCTAAAAGACATTTATCGCTGCCTGGGGACCAACCTTCTTTGACTTCCAGCAGCGGCAGTACACGGCCTTGGTGGCGATGTCCTCCATGTCAAAGCTGTGGACCACTTTAGGGCTGTCTTTGTTGATGCAGGTGTTCACTTGGCCCTTTTTGCAGCTCCGCCTGTTCAGGTACTGGCTGACGAGAAAGCCTCCGACAGCTGCAACCACCGCCACCGGCACGGCAACCAAAAAATGCTCTGAAAAAAGACAAATATTATAAGGACTTTTATGTAATGTCTTAAACAAGTGATCATAACTGTCATTTGAGGCAACATCATTTTAGTCATCATTTCAGCCTGTCGGACCTAGTGGCATTAACAGTTTCTCGGTTCTGAAAGGGTTTATGCTAGAGTAGTTTAGGCCTATTCTTAGAAAACCAACAAGCAGGTATGTGGCGGTGTTTTCCAAGGCCAGGAGTGGCGAAATTTTTCCAAGCCATGGAGGATTATCTGCCGAGTACTGAGAATCACATGTTTCAGAACAGGAATGTGGGCCCTGCTGTCAGACCTGATCAGCAACTTCTGTGAACTTCTGCTTGGCTAGAGCGGCGGGAAGCCGGGCATACGGAGATAGCGTTTAGCTGTGGCCCACACTGAGTGAAGTCTAAAGTTGGAAAAATTAACCCGTGTCCAACTGGGTTCGGTGACCGGTTAGCCAGCTAACGGCGCCATGCCAGAAGAAGGGGAAAAGTTTACAATGCAACTACAAAGTCTATATACGTTACTATTAAACGCGGTAGCCTCAATACAACCACACAGTATCCTACAGTTTTTTCTACAACACTGTCGCAGACCCGCTAACGGCTAACAAAACACTCATACAAGGCTAGCATGCTATTAGCCAGCTTTAATACTTTACCTTTAGTTAACCTGAAACCCGAGCTGGGTAAGTCGGGTATCGGAGGCATTGGCATTGCAGGTAAATGGGTGGCTGACATGTTGGGAGTTTTTTTTTTTTTTTTTTTTCCCTCCTTGGACGGTGTACTGTATGTGATCAGCGCTCAGCAGCAAGGTCAACCACAGAGCTTATCAAAACTATCCACTCTGACAGCGCACCGAACCTGCTGCGACACTGCCCACCAACCAATCAAAACCGAGGAAGAACGAAGCTCGACAAGGGTAAGAGCGTAACCCCCATACCATTTCCGGCTTCGCTTTAGCGCTCTTTGAAGTTGGAATTGCCGTGATGAGTAATACGTTCCAGAAATAAAATAAATAAATATTACGTTTTATTTTAAGTGTATTTGTTAAAACTCTTCACTATCGGGTCCATAGCCAAAAGATAAATAAAATTCCACTGCCTGGCAAATTTTCCTAACGGCGGATAATTATCTTGACCACTGCGAGCTTTGGTGAGTCCCATTTCCTTTACAGGTCACTGGCTTAAAAAAAAAAAAAAGAAAAAAGGAGGGGGGGGGGGGGTTTGAACATAACACCTTTGACTCAAAATAAACCCCATTTATAGATTTACAATGTCAAAGCTTTTAATTTAGCTGTGACAGAGCTGGAAGGTCTCCCAACTTTTAACTACTTTACATACCACCAGAGGGCGACAAATGACCTTTTCTAAAGGCTTGACTGGACTCTACAAGCGCCCAAGAATTATGTAATTTCAAAAGCTTTCAAGTCTTGTATTTTTGTTATGCTCCCCAGTATTCACAGAATTCTGTGGAATAGAGGTAACCATAAAAGAATGAGGTAATTGCTCATCTTATTTATCCTGTTAGATTTCTGCAGAACTTCCTCTTAACTGCATTCAGATGTTGCCAACCTGCCTCTGTATGCCTTCTTCAAAAAGAGGCTGAGTATGAGTCAACACAGGAGTCGAGGGTTTTTATTACACAGTTTAATCAACACACAAAGCTCAACGAGCCTCTCAGGTAATTCAATATACAGAGGTTTTGTGCAAGAAGAGTGGGTTCTCCTCGCACCCAGAGCCCAAGCCAGTCCCATAGCCATTTAAGATGTTAGCCTCTAATTTAACAATAGCAAAAAAAAAACAAACAAAAAAAGAAAGATAAAAGCAAACTAAAGAATTATGGGGTGGGAAATAAAAACACAGGTTAAACTAAGAAAAAAAATGAATTGCTTAAATACCTGGTCCAGAACCTCCACTTTTTGTGAATAAAGAAACGATGGTGGTGAGGGTGACATGGGGGTTACAGTTGTGTGTGCATGTGTGTGTGTGTGTGTGTGTGTGTGTGTGTGTGTGTACACAAAGGGGTCAACTTGGGTGAGGGAAGATTGGGGGAGGGAGGAATGAGGAACAGGAGGTGTGGGGATAAATTCAAGTCCTTTCATAGAATCCAACAGAAGACCAAAAATAGGCTGCGTGTAATTTTTTTCCATGTTACATAGCCTTGTATAAAACACAGAGTGCCCTTTGACTACTTCCTTGAAATGTCACCCCTACAGATGGAAATCATTAGGACAACAAAAACAAGAAAGGGTGCAGAGTGTAAAAATCCCTCCATCTTACTGTCCCCTCCCCCTCAAAAATAAAATTAAACTGGAAGATAATGGGGGAAGAAAAAGGTCCCCTCAAAGCTTGACTGGTGCTTAAAGGAATGCTTTTAGTGATGGTGGGTGAGAATGCGGGCGTGCAGGGAATAAACAGGGGAGGGTGGAGGATCGGTGACAGCCCAACCTGCTTGGTGACAAATGGAATACAGAAGTCAGGAGATGGAGGAGGAGTTGGTAGGTGGTGAAAAAGGGGAGATGGGCTTTACCATTGCAAGTTGACAATATGTACACTAGAGGAGGGGTGGGTGAGCTGAGGGGCGGAGGGAGGGAAGGGGTAAAGATAGAGCAAATAGAGGGAGAGAGAGAGAAGGTGGGGCAGAGGGAGTTTTACAGGTACTCTGGTAAAGGGGAGGCGTGGCTCAAAGAAAGCACTCCAATGGAAACCAACAAGATCTTGTTTAAACTTTTCATTTGTTTGTATGGTTTTTTTGTTTGTTTTCTCTTTACGTCTGAAGCTCCCCTAGCCTTTACGTCGTAGAGGTGGTTGGCCATGTTTCCACCCCCAACACTACATTGCATACTTTTGTGTCCATTCCCGAGCTATTTTGTTGTACCTGTGAACAAGAAAGAAAAAAAAAAAAAAGAGAAAGAGAGGAGAGTGGTCAGTTTTAACTTAGTGAAGGATCAACATGTTGAACACTTGTAGTCAATCTGCACCACTGCCTTTACTCTGACTGGTCCCATCAACGTGTCTGAAACGGGGAGCCCGAATTAGAGCAGATGCTCCCCGAAGTCTGAATCGCAACGAGTGTGGCCGCATCACGTTTCTGTTGCGACGTCACCGTGACTGTTCAAAACTTGCTTGCACTTTCAACAATTTAATTGGCCATCCACTGCCTGTCACTAAACCTGCACAGCAATTAGGTTTTTGTCAGAGTGCATCAAGCTGGGGAGAAGCCAAAGAGGAGGGCAGAAATTTCATGAGCGAATGGCACAGAGCAGACACATCGTCCTCATTTTACATCGTAGGCTCAGACGAGTGCCATTCTCCTTTCTGTCACGATAAAGATGTTTAGCTTCATATGAAATCCCTCAGATACTTTAATATAAGACAAAGGAATTTTCAATGGAACGTATCTGTTTTTCTACACGATAAGAGAAACGTGCTGTATATAAAACACACCTGTCAGCACGACTCTGGCCTGAAAGAGTAAGAAATAAATGTGTAAAGTTACTGAAAGAGTTGTGACTTAATTTGTTCATTCACATAAAATGTAATTTTTTATTTTTATTTACTGTGGACCCATTGTAAGATTTTATTATTTTTTATAGTAGATATTTATATATAAAAAAAAAGAACCTTTTCTGCCATTTAGTCATTTATCTACTACTTAATTACTTTGATGTAGCACAAATGACCATGGGGAGCTCTTTGGGTCTTTATAAAAGTTCCAAGTTATGAAAATAGTTAAAATCCAAAATATATGCAATATTTCATACTTTCCAGAGCCAGTGGGCCAAATTGGGAGTCTTTGTTGAGCCAATTCTGGCTCTCCGGCCTTATCGATCAATCGTTAATTTCACAGGTAGCAAATTCTGATCGTCTCAACGGGGTGACAACTCCAGAAAGGTGGCATGTCTGTGCCCCAATGTTTGCATTCATTCACCCTCACGCATGACTAATCAAAAAGCTCAAGTTTCACACGCTCTAACATTAAACAGCCTTCTTGACCATAGCCTGTATATAAAAGTTGGACATGGCCACAGAGGATATTCGCCCATTATGAAGCCCCGAGTTAGGTTTGCTGTTGCTGTCTGGGTGTTTCAAAACCAAATGTGGGGAGTGAGTGACACATCTGAACCTCACTGTTAACTGTGCGGCTATTTTAAAGACTCGTGGTGACAGTTTCAATTTTTTCTGTTATGTCACACACTGTTAGCAACAGTGTTACTAGCAACAATCTGAAAAGGCACATGAAAGCAAACTATTCATGCAAACAACTCACTTTTCCCTGTCAGTCTTGTAGATGCGGGCGATCTCGGGTACTAATGGGTCGTCCGGGTTTGGGTCGCACAGCAGAGAGCAGATGGACAGGAGAACTGGAACAGACCACACAAAAGGTTAAGAGTTCTCACACATAAAAACTGACATTTTCAGAGTTTGGATACATTTTCCTTTGGATGACCCTCACATGCTAGCATGTCCCATCTATTCCACTTCTGATCATAAACATAATTGGTCTACAAAAACACTCACAGTGCACGAGGGACGCTATTTGTGTAAACCACTGTATTAGCTCAAGGACCATCTCTGACATTCACTGAGATAGTGCTGCGCCAGTTTAAATCAAGGACCTCTGCCACAGGAATGCATTTGGAGGTAGCGCTTTCACGGGAGAAAAAAAAAGAAGAAAACGGGGCGTTTCTCTTTTACTCTGCAGCCAGAAACATCTCCTTACCTTTGGAGATGGTGAGAGCCGGAGACCACTGTGATCGCAGGATGTCAAGACAGATGCTGCCGTTGCTGTTGATATTTGGGTGGTAGATTCTTGTGGTAAATGCAACCTGAAAACAGATGAATGGGGGGAGCCAAGAAAGAGGGGGAGACGGCAGAAAGCTGAACGACGTAAAGCTGTGGCACGCTTTAACGGGCAAGAGGAACTTAGGCACCCTCTGTTTATGAAAAGCTACTTCTTTGCATGCTCTGATGCTCACCTTTGGCGGTTTGAAGGGGTAGTCTGTGGGGAAGTGTATGGTCAAGAAGAAAACCCCGCTCTGGTAAGGACTGTCATTCTGAAGGAGAGAGAAGCCCAATGGGCTTCATTACAATTATGGTATAAAAGGAAACAGGCAGGTAGAAAACTTATAGTGAGAACAATTCAGAGTCGTGCGCATGTACGTGAATTTCCCATAAACCTAAAGCAACGGTTAAAGCTGTGACTGTGTGAGTACTTACGGGTCCCATTATTGTGGCTTGCCAGTGAAACACTGAAACAAAAAAGGAGAAATTTGTTATGAAACTGAGGACATGATGTGTGTCTGGGAAGTGTTAGAATAAATAATGCCACATGAAGCGTGCCTGTTTATTTATACAGTTGAGTAACAGGCTTTAAATAAAGTGCAGCTGAGGACAGTCTTTTCTTAATTAGAAATGACTACATATACACTTGCAGCACATGAATAACACTAACCTGCTGCTTCAGAGGAAATTAATAAACAAGAAGTGATTTTTTTAAAGAGCTTGGATAACCACCAAAACAAACCACTGTAATCTGACTGTGATCTTTTAAACCTGTCCAATTCAAGCATCCTGTCTGAGGAGAAATGTCACATTTGTGAAGAAAGCCACAATAACTGCATTTCACAAGAGACACCGTCTTGGTTTTTTTGATGTTGATGGCAGGAAGCGATGTGTACAGCAAACAAATAAAAAGTTCTGCTACTGATTTTTTCCCCGCACAAGTACAAAAGTTAGACGCTATCGTGCACAAACACAGACTGCACACCAAAATCCCAGGATGCAGTGCTTACGGGATCCACACTATGATTGTGTCATTAAAATGTCAGACTTTAAAACAAAGGAAAAACTCCTCAGACGGTTGTTGTGATCTTGACAGCATGCAGACACATATGGACGTGTCCTGCGCGTGCGGTCCTAAGATAAAAATCTAATGTTTTTGTTTTGACTGGAACCTAAATGCAACATCCCCCCTCACACACGCACACACAAAGGATATTAACACATTCATGGGTTAGTCTTGAGTTTCAACACAACATATTCATATTTCATTTAATAATCTTCAAGGAATCTTGCACATAAGTTTTGTTGTTTTAAAGAATAGTTTCAATAAATAATTTAGGAACAGATATCAATATGCAAAAATCAGTCTGAAGACATGAAAACAGACTAAAGAAACAAAGCATGTAGATTGTTTCCTAAAAACAATACAACATATTAGAGCAGCTGCACTGTACACCCTGTGACGATTCTGGTTATGTATGCAGACGTCACAAACCTCAAACATGAGACAACAGCGTGGGTGTCGGTCTCTTGTTGAACCCAGGTGTTGCACTCAGGATGTGTCGGGCAGGCAGCCGCCGCATTACTACTCCTGGCTAAGTTTGCGTCAACCTCTGTGCAATGACTGGGGCAGCACGTAATTTGCAAGTCCATGAGTTCATATTTAAATCAGCGTGCATACACTTAATATAGTCACTCTGTCTATTTTTTTTTTAAACATCCTAAATACAATCTGTCTGTGTTTATTCATGCTACTTGTTCTAAACATACCCATCTAGGGCAATTATTATTACTCCCACACTATCATTCATAAAAGACATGATTATAAAGGATTACAGCTATATGTAAAAACACTGCTGTATTACCAAGACAGAATAAGAGCAATCGTTAAATGGACTTAAATATCAAGGCACATCATCAGAGCGATTAACTGAATGTATCTGTTTGTGTATATAGCACGGGACAACGTCAGATCTACCACAATACAAGATCTTAATGTATCAAAATATTTCTTAAAAGCAACTAACTAAACTGGACGCTGGTCATTAAAAACTACAGTTTGGATTTTGACGTTACAGCAGGGTCAAGACCAAGTTGATGAGATCGAGCCAAAGTGAAAATTCCAAAATTATGCAGGCATTTAAGTGTCTGGATTTACTGACACTTAAACCTCAGGTCACAAGATTGTGGACACTGTGGTTTAGGACTGAGTGACTTATTGATCAAACCAGAAACGCATCAAAGAGAAAGTGTTAAACTGCTCACTAAACATTTTCCTTCAGTACAAAAAAAATCCCCATATCATCAAAGTTTTTCAATATTCTGAACTTTTTTTTTTTTTAACTCTGCACACAAATTTTAGCATTAGGACCAAATTTTGTTTAATTAACCTGCAATAATAGAAGCACCTTGGGAGTTTTACATACAACATTTAAAGTACTGGTTACAAGGAAACATTGACAAACATACTGCAGGGCTAAGTTCAGTTCAGTTAATGCCTTCTGCATTTCATTATTGGTTCAGTCTATGAGATTAAAAAAAGAAATCTGAACTCTGATTTACTCCCAACATTACAAAAGAAAAAATACCCTTGCTGTGAAAGTAAAAGTAAAACCTACATGAAGCAATACAGTGGGTTATGCTTTTATAATTACCCAGAAATCTTCACAATAGGAGCTGCAGGTATTTCCTGGATGTGAGCTCTAAGAATAACCTTCAAGCAGAAACGAACACTAATTTAATCTATTTTATAGATGTTGGTCTTCATGGATCTGTCATTGATTCCTATGTCATATGCGAGTATAATTTGATGATTGAAAAATTATTTGGTCACATAAGATTATGAATAAGTTCAAATAAAAAGCGGGAAAGGGTTCTGAATCCTGCTTACACACAGCTAACGTGACACTGTGGGTTTAAATGTTGACTTACTGTCATCTCCTACTGGTCCTGCAGAACACTGGGCTGGTGGGTCCCGTGCCAAGTCATTCAACTCCTGAGACAAACCAAAGAGATGTGAGTTGTTTGGGTCCGGCCATACAGCGAAGCATTAAATAGACCATAAAAACTAAGAACAGATAAGAGGGCTAAAAACACCAGCATCTGCATACAGGATAGCATTCACTGATGAAAGTGTCCTGTTTATCTTTTGTGTCACATCAGTATTGTGCCAGATAAGAGTCCAGACAGTGTGTTTAAGAGGTGAATGACATTTATTTCTTTGTAATTAAGTAGGGCCAAATGAAGAAAAAAATAAGAATAATATAAAGTAATTGATTTTAATATTTTCCATTTTGAAAATAAATTTAAAGTGTTAAAGATTGAAGTCAACTCCCTGAGTTCATCAAAGGGTGTTAGGAAAGTGTGGAAGGTTTAAGGTGAACCTGCCAAACTGCATCTCAACCTTTTAGCTACAATGTATAGAACAGAGCACTTTGCTGTTTTCTTCTTCTTCTTCTTCTTCTCTGTGTGAGGTCCAAGCAGTCTATACATTAACAGAGAAAATGTCCTCATTTCTAAAACACGATTATCAGTGTATTTTGACTTGTCTCAGAAATTCAACTTAATCGTTAAGAATATATCCTTCTAATATACACATTTTTAAAGTTCCTTTCAACAATCCTCCGAATAAACTGAAAGAAGAGATGATAAAAAAAACAAATAACAAAGAAGGAGCAAGCAGAAATATCAGGTTTAGCCAGGTTGTTTTACAAACACCAATATCAGGCTATTAATTAAACAATCAGCGCAACCCCAATCTAAAGAACAGAGAGAAAAAGGAAATGCAACATAAAAATAACCACACAAGAATTTCCTCTGTTTAAGCATGTGTTTGGGGTGGGCACAAAAAAAAGAGCTTCAATAATCTTATAGAGGCTGTTCTACTTACTACTTCCTCTGCTCACCAGGAGCTCTGTCTTGTTTTCAGACAGCTCCTGAGGCCGGTGCCACAGCCATAAAGGCTCCCTGCTACAGTAACTCTCAAAGCATTTCCCGGTGACACAACAACACTACTATAGCACCCCGAGCCTTTGCTTATGGCACTGACCGCTATTACGTAACTGCCTTTCTCCAGGTAGAGCGGCTAACACACGTACACCCAAACCGAGATAACGATAATTTGACAAAGCTTTTACTATAGCCCACACAGCCGTGTAAACTGGTTAGCTCGCAGTAAACGGTATGCTGGTAACGTTAGCTTAGCGTAAACGCTAACCTCTCCGGCTCGACAGCAGCACAGGATGTCATGTAAGAGAAACATGAAGCGAGCTGCCTGGCCAAATTATGACATGCCTTTATGCTACGTGGGGAATTAATTGCAACAGGACCAAACAACGCGGAGCTAACTCAATCAGACGAGCGGCACAATAACGATTATAGGGCTCGCCTGCTATCAGCAACATGCCATCAAAGGCGAACAACGCGTGGGGCCTGTTTTTACAACACCGACTCGCTGCTAACATTAACAAGAATTTCCTTATGTACTGCTTCTCCCGTTGAGCCATAAGCATGTTCAATGCAAACAATAACATGGCTGCTTTGACATGACTACTGCGAAAACCTGCAGGTTATGAATTAAGATGACAATATACAGTTAACGAAAAAAAAAAACGGGGAGGAGGTACATGCTCGCTTCCGATATAGCGATCATTATGTTTGAACTTTTACTGTTCCTCTAACAACAGCAAATGATCGGGTATTTAAATGGCTAGCGACAAAGAAGCCGTCCGTCCTTTAATTAAATAAGCTCTGGACTCCTGAGCTAGCCGTTACCGCTAGCCGGATAACTTCAGTTATCTGTCAAATCAAATAGCGGGTTAAGTAAACGAAAGCCGCCGTGTTGAATAATGTTAGCTACGTAGGCTGCCGTTTATATCGACTAATGAAGACATATCTGATAGCATATCGTGAAAACTGCCGCTAGTTTACTATAAAGATAGAAATGCAGTGGGCTAGCCTGCATCCAAACTAGCCAACAACCGGGAGAGATAATGTTAGCCAGCAGCAGCTAACACACCACTAACACCATTAACTAGTGACAACCATGGCAAGCTAAACATCTTTTTATACGCGGTATCGAATACATTCTTAATGAACCGAAACAGATTGTGAAGCTATGTGACACAACCAAGAACAGCTAACACAGCCAATGGTGGAGTTGGCCCATTTGTAGCAGCACTGAAAGGCGGCGCATTGCTGCTCTCAGTGTCGCCGCTCGCTATTCAGACTCACAGACCGTTAGCTGCCAGCTCAAACCTAACTTGAATAAATAGATCCGTTTTTCAAATTATTGTCAGTACAACTAATCTGCCGGACAAGCATCCGCTAGACAACCTTGGAATTAGATCTATAACCAAACTGCGAAATCCTGGGCCTCGCCGTTCACTTCCTTACCTTGTGAATTCTTTTCAGAGCCATTGTTGTGCTAGCGCTTCTGACAGGGAAAACGTGCGATTAAAATGGCGATTGATATCACTGTCCGTTAGTAATACTACGATTTAGCTGTCATATAAGATCGTTACTCTACATATAATTAACTGGTTGCTACCAGAAAGAACCACCAAGCAAATTTTGAGGCGAAACTGAAAGATAGAAGCGGTAGAACCGCGGTCCTTCCTCCTACTGCAGCGGCTACCAAATCACTGCGGCCTGTGTTCTGCTAGCAGCAAAGACGGCAACACTTCCGAATTCCGTTTTTCACAATTAAACCACGACCATCTAAAGGTGACACAACTACCTTGCTCTCCTCCATCCTCATATAACACAAAAGTAAATCCGCTTTTTCACTGTTACATGTTTACAGTCTCATAGGAAACGCCTTTAAATTAATATTCTGACAGGCTTTTCTGTGCAATGTCCCCAAAGAAGCATCCTTTTCCTAGGATGGAAGTAAACCTTTACTTTATTCATGCATAGAATTATTTGGGCTGCAAACATGATTACTATACTTCCATACAACAATTTGCAGTGATATTAACAGTAAAAAGATGACACATCTGAAAAGTTGGACCATGGAATACTTGGCACTTCCGTAAACCTCTCTAAAAAAACGTGAAGACAAGTCTGTGTGTGTGTGTGTGTGTGTGTGTGTGTGTGTGTGTTCTTTGATTTTCTCAACAACAATTCATGCCCTGTTTGGATGTGTCAGAAAACATCCACTGCAACAGCACCATCCATGTAAAGCTTGCCGCAGCTGTTCAAGGCATAGATTCAAGAATGAGCACACTTGCAGTTGAACAGTCAAAACAAATATGTTTTTAATGCTATATTTTATTAGGTTAAAAAAGTCATTGGTGGAAAAAAAAATGTTTAAGAGAATTCATTAGAACTTTTCTCAACCTTTGAAGAATTTTCCCAGTTTAAACAGTATTTATTTCCAGTTTATTTCGCTAAGAAAAATTAAGAAAAGAAAAACTGGCCGCCACACAGTCTTAGAGAATTGTCCAGCTGCAGTGAGATTCAATATCCCAAGCTCAGGACAGGAGATTTCATTTTATCCTGAATTAAGAAAAAAAACTAAACAATTTTATAAAATGTTGTGGAGGGCCGCCTTTGAGAGCAGGAGTATTTAAACAGTAATCCAATATCTGTTAACACCGCAAATTATAAGTCTTTTCACACAGGTACAACTATTTTACATCAACAAAAGCAACCTGGCTGGTTTACCAAGCTCAAGACTTCAAAAGCTGGGAGCAGCTGTGTATTTTCTGTCCCCACACAATCATTATATTTTGGGATTATAGACTAGCAGGATTTATTGTCCATTTCCGGACAGAGCCTGAACTATTCAAAAATGACAGTTGATTGTATAATTTACTTCTTTCCTTTTCTGAGATCAGTAATACTCAAATATTCAGTGGCTTAAAACTGCGGTCCCCAACCCCCGGGCCTCGGACGGGTACCGGTCCGTGAGTCGTTTGGTACCGGGCCGCGAGAGTTGAGGTTCAGGTGTGAAATGTATAGTTTTCAGGGTTTTTATCGGTTTTCAGTGTTATTTTGTTATCGTTTTTATCGTTTACTCGGCTTTCCTTGGTCTTTTCACATGTGTTATGAATAAATCTTCTTTTTTTCGGTATGGGTACTAGTTTTATTTTGTTGTATTTATTCGCGACACCTTAAAGGCCGGTCCGTGAAAATATTGTCGTGCATAAACCGGTCCGTGGCGCAAAAAAGGTTGGGGACCGCTGGCTTAAAACATTTTGAAAATGTTTTTTTTAAAACCTTTATTCTGAAAGCAATTTTCAAACCGGAAATAGTGTTGTTGGCTCGCTTTTTCACTGCGTTACCGCTAGGGAACCCCTTCGCTGACATGCGCACCTGAGGGATCGCGGTGCACGCCGCCTACGTAGTGGTGCAACTGGCGTCATTGTGGCTCCCGCCACGCGAGGGTAAGGCTGAACGGGCACGGTCTGGGCTGAGCCAAGATGTCTACCCAGTATATGTCTTTTGCAGTAGGTAAACTCCCGGGACGTGAGACTAAAATGGGTTACAAGAGTTTCAATGTCGTATGCGTCTTCGCAGGCAGTGCAGCAGTTGGTAACATGCTAAAGCCGCTGGCTGTGGCTATAGGTGTAAGTCCACTTTCAGAGGCTTATGTAACAGATAAACTACAGTCTGGGTTTGTTTAGTGCAGAGATATGACTCGCGACTGTGGGTGCGAGCTCGTTGGCGGAGGGCACATAATTGGTTTGTTTAAGCAAGGGAAAAATATATTAGCTGCACAGTAACTGCAGTTTATGTTTGTGCGGTTTTGTTTTGTTTGTCACGGTAACTCGTTGTTATATCCGTGTGGCACACAATGTTCCGCTTTCTCAGTTCTCAATATTCTTCAGCAGGGGTGTCAAACATAAGGCCCGGGTCCCAGAGTCGGCTTAGCAATGAAGGCCCATTGGACAACTTTGGACAATGTGTATTTGCATTTAAAGCTTTGCCAACTGATAAAGAGCTTCCCCGCACCGCATTCCTACTACATCAGTGTTATTAAGTAATAGATAAACAATAAAGTGATAGATGTTTTTTAGAAATTAGTTTTTTTCCACTATGGGACATTATTAACAAAAACACGGGCAATGAGCTACCAAACATTTCTATGTAATTTAAAACATTTGCACTGTGTTCCAGATACATCAGACCCAGAAAAAAAAAAAAACAGATTTCTTTTGGTTCTTAGCAAAGTAGAGCAATTCAAGTATCACTAGCAATACAGGATAATACTTATGTTATAATGCTTTGATAGATCAAAGTATCTGGGGCTGATCCAACTCCTGAGCAAGAAGTCCGAGTTGAGTGGGAGTTCAACAAAAAACTTCCAACTGGGAACTCGGAATTTCTGACTTTGACTTATTCAGGAATTGGCTATTATTTCTTAGAATTTATACACGAAAAACTTGTTTCCTGCAGCACAATTTGTTTAATATGTAGAAAAACTGAGGCACACAGTTTAAATTGCACTTCTTTTTGTTTCCTGAGAACCGAGGAAACAAGGTAGAGCAGGGCGATATGACCAAAAATATTTATCACAATATACATTTGAAAATTTGAGATAACGATATAACTGACGATATAATTGACACTAGACAAAATACTTTACAACTCCACAACTTTATTAGTGCAAATAAAAATATCAATGTATTTTCACTTAAACAAGCAGCTGTTTTTTATGTGCATTAAAGTTATCTAAAAATTTAACAGTGCAAATGCAAATTTCTTGCTGACAGTTTAACCAAAAGGCATTTCCAGTGGGAATTGGCCGACATATCCTCAGCATAACCATGTATAATATCCACAAAACTTAAAAAGAGGTTATACACACACACTATACGGTACCATTATGTTGAAGCACAGTACGTATCACTCCGCGAGGCTCCTCCCTATGATAGCCGTAATGCTCCGACAATCCATCGTAGCTTAGCAAAGTCGTACTAAAACATTTGACAGATTTTCGAGCGCCGTGTACATAAAATCGTTTCGAGGTCAGTAAACACAACCAGAATTCATACATAAGGCACACGGGATTATAAGGGGCACTGTCGATTTTCAGATAAATCAAAGGATTGATTTTAAGTGTGCCGTATTTTCCAAAAAACACGGTAATAACGACGGCCCGCTAGCACGCGCTACCAAAAATAGTGCTTTGTTGTGTATCTGATGGACGAAAGCCAAACCAGTTCCACACCACTGAAGTTGCAGCATTTTTACAAACCAGTTCTGGTTCATCTATTTCATTCAACGATCCACTTTCGCCCTTCTCATTCTGTATCGCCACCGTGTTTTTTCCGTCATGTGCGTATGAAAACAAAGGCACTGCGCATGCGCGTTTTACCCGTATTCTATCGCGATATTTCATTTTCTTATTGTTGCCCAACATTATACCGGTATTACCGTGAACGGTATGATATGGCCCAGCCCTAAAACAAGGATCTTTCGGTTTAACTTTTTTTTGTGATGTCCTGCCTATTTGAAGCTAAAAGAGGCCACCCAAACACATGAGATATCATTGGAAAGGCCAGGATGTCATCTTTTGAGCTGGTTCTCAGGAGGATATTGAGACTGTGTAGTTAAACGTCTTTACATTGACAGAATGGGAAGTTTCAGTAATCCAGCCCACTTAAAGATCAAAGTGTCCCACGATGTAAAATGAGTTTGACATTCCTGACCTACAGGATAACCAAGAGACTCTTTCAGGTACAAGTTGTATTAAAGATGTCAAACAGTGGAGGGAAGACCACTGGATTTTGACTTAAAATAAAATAAAACCTGATCTCTTTGTTCGAGGGAAATGTTTTTGTTCTTTTGAAAGCTCGAAAATTAGGCTCTGCATACTCCACCATGGCTATTGTGAGCTCTGGCCTATGTGCAGAGAAAAACATAATCATGTCAAAGTGAATGAAAAATGGTTCCAGTTTGCATTCCAGTAAATGCAAATGACCCTGCGTTTAACTAAGCTCACTGGTTCAAACAGAGCAGGCTCCGTCATGGGTTTTTCAAGAACAAACATGTAGGAACCTACAAAAGTAAAGGAGTCCCAACACAATCAAGCTAATGAATCACTAACTTTTAGTATGAGGTCAAATCAACCGTCTGTCATGAATGGGAGTAGATTTTGAGGAAATTCGGAGGACTTTCTGTAACATTACTGAGCTTCACACCGTAATCAGCATCCAGTAATGGCCTTTTTACGCTCTGACCGATGTCACTAGTTATGTTGTAGTTCTGTTGCTCACTAAAGAGCTACATTCAATAGCTTTAAGAGATATATCACTAAGTATAGCTTCATAATTTTTTCCCTGTATGTTCTCCCCAACAATCAGAGAGAGAAATAGTTATTTTAAAAGAAGCTTTTAAACATTTGATTTCTTATTGGAAGGAAAGCACAGGTGGGGCTGATGTCAGTAATGATGGCTCTGTGTCATGCAGGTGTATGCAAGTGAGCAAATGTACACAATACAAGGACTGGAATGTTTATAAGTGGACTCTGTGATTAACACCATCAATCACACCTCGGTCATTCCTGATGTGACATGTCAAAATATCTGCTGTTGAAACAGCCAATAGCAGCAGACGGGAGTACTGTTTGATTTGCACAACAGTCATCTACACTTGAAGCTCCCCCAAAATAGGAAATGTATCCAAAAACCACATCCAGAGGTGAGCTGGGTTAAAAGTACAG